GCAGCCGCCGCCCCCCGCGCCGGGGCAGCCACTCTGAAGTCGTACCCCTTCAATTTCCGGGGGTCAAAGATCCTGTCGGGGGAAGAGGAAGGGGTCTTCGGCTGGGGCACTGCAAACTACCTCCTGGAGAACTTCATCAAGGTGGGCAGGGGAGCGTGGTGCTGGCCGGGGACAGCTGGTGGCCAGGTTATCCCGCAGCTCATCACATCCTCATGCCCGCTCTTGTCTTCCTTACTTAGCGCGGGTGGCTTGGGGAATGGATCCAGCCCCAGAAGAAGACCCTGGGGGCCATGGACTTCGGAGGGGCTTCCACACAGATCACCTTTGAAACCAGGGACACCATTGAAGACCCCAGAAATGAGGTGATGCTGAAGCTGTACGGCCAGGTGTACAAAGTGTACACCCACAGCTTCCTCTGCTATGGGAGGGACCAGGTCCTCAAGAGGCTACTCTCAAAGCTCCTCCAGGTACCACCATGTGCTCGACTGGGATGCTGGCTGACATCACCCCGCAGCTGCCCCTCACCCTGGTGTTTATACAGAGGTGTCCCCCAGCCCTGGCTCTCAGACAGGCGTGCGGGGCCGGCTGCACACCTTTCACAGCCAACTCTTGGGTTTTGCCCCTGACCATCTCCCATGGTCCCAAGGCTTCCTCCCACCCTGTCCATAAGGTGTTGTACCCCCTTGGCCAGAGCCAAGTGGTCCTAAGTCATCTCAAGATGCTTGTGGCAATTGCCAGCTCTGTGTCCAGCTGCCAAAGCTCTTCCACATCTCCCTGGCAGGGAAACAGAGGCAGGCGCGGGCAGCGGAGCGGGGGCTGCCATACAGCACCAGGGGAGCCGGGGCTATGGCACAGCTCGTGTGCCCCTGTGTCGCTTCTCCGGCAGGCTGAGAGCTACCAAGCAACCGTCGCCCATCCCTGCTGGCCCACGGGCTACCACAAGAGCCTGTCACTGAGCAGCATCTACGACAGCCCCTGCACAGAGAAGGAGAGGCCCAACCTTGCCCTCAACACCACCGTCACCGTGGTTGGCACCGGGAACGGAAGCCTCTGCGCTCTGCACGTCAGCAAGCTCTTCGACTTCACCACCTGCTCCTTCTCCCACTGCTCCTTTGACGGCGTTTTCCAGCCGGAGGTTTCGGGAAACTTCATCGTAAGCCCTGGCATGGAGCAGGGTGGTGTCTGGCTGCTGGGTGGGCAGGTGTCCCTGGCCCCCTGGCATCATGCGGTGGCAAAGCCAGACCCCCGGCTCTGCAAGGGCAGCGCCAGTCAGAGCGGCTGTTCGTGGCAAGGGTTTGCTCCCAGCCTGTCTCACAGCTGCCTCCTTTCCTCCATCAGGCCTTCTCTGCCTTCTTCTACACGGTTGACTTCATCCGGACAGTGATGGCAAGACCTGTGCACTTGCCCAGCGACCTGGACGATGCTGCCAAGACCATCTGTGCCACCAGCTGGAGCGAGGTGGGCTCCTCAGGCACGGCAGGGAGGCAAGGGCTGCTTCATGCAGGGCATCACTCGGGCTCTGAAGGCAGCCCTTGGAGGGGGCTGGGTGTCCTGGCACCTGTGGAGTAGGGGGATGGTAGGTGACGGTTCCCACATGGGACCAGGAGAGGCTCAGGTGGGTAGGGGCAGTGCATTGGCCAGCCAGATGTAACCACCCAGAGCTTCAGGCCACAGAAACAAAGCCTGTTGACTTGACCCCTTTTCTCTGTCCCTCCATGCACCCCACCCAGCTGCTCCAGAAAGCCCCTAAGCTGGAGAAGAGACTATCGGATTACTGCGCTGCCAGCACGTTCGTTTATTTGCTCACCACCAAAGGCTACAAATTCAACGACCATTCCTTCCCCAACATCGCCTTCCAGAAGAAGGTAGGTAACACCAGAGCACATACTCAGGCTGTGGTTATCTGTTTGGAGTTGATCTCCCAGCATAAAGGAGCTGAAGCAACACAAGGGAAGATCTCAGGGAACGGGGGCAGGATGGGACGCCCAGTTTTCAGGTGGGTGTTCTGAGAGATGGAAAGAAAATGAGCTGAACTGACTGTTGGGTGGTCATGGAGTCAGGTCCTCCAGTCCTTTCTTGGCCTTCAAGACACCAGCTATCTCCAGCAACTCTTTGCTCAGGCTTGTTGGGGAGCTATCTCAGGGCATGATCTCACCGTTGCCAAGTGCCCTCACCTGCCCGAGCGATGGGATGGGCAGCGAGATCAGGACTGGCCTGAGCGGATGAGACCTTGCTCCCATCAGATGAGCCCAGCTCAGCACAGGATGGTCCTTCATCCCTGGGCTGGCTGGACCCATGGGCGAGTGAGGGCTCAGGGTGCTGTGGACTCCCCCACACTGCTCTCCTCCATTGGGCTGACACCGAGGCAGCCTCTGGAAGGTCTCTTCAGGCCCATGGAACTGGGTTGACTGGGTTGGTGACCATGCCATGCTGTTTCTGCAGGCAGGAGAAACCTCCATCGGCTGGGCCCTGGGCTACATGCTGAACCTCACCAACATGATCCCAGCGGAGAAGCCCTCTTCCCACAAGAGCATGCTGTACAACTACTGGGTCCTCCTCATCCTGCTTTTTGTGGTCACCACCCTGACATCTCTGGTGACTGCCGTCTGCCTGCTCCGGCGCAGCAAGTCCAGCTCAATCTAACGGCAGGGGCAAAAAAGGCCCTTGTCTGCAGGCCCCAGCACCATCCTTCCTGCTGGAGTCTCCACAGCCTGAACACTTGGGATGTGGCAAGTGCTTGGAGATGTCCTCCTCCAGTACCCGACGCTGCCTGTCCCAGAAGGAAAGCTGTCCCTTTTTGCCCTCCCTGTGCTTTCAAGCTGCAGAAAGGGTGGGACAGAAGAAGACCACTGGCCCTGCAGGAGAATGGCTTAAGGGTTTCCCAGCACTGCTCATGGATGGACCCTGGAGCAGACTTGGGATTTGGATGTTCAGACCTGGGGCATCTTTCTGCCACCAGACCTGGACTGGACTAGGCCAGTAAGTCCAGACAAAAGCAGGATTTATTCTCACGTGCATGGGGTGGGTGGGGAGCATTACTTACACTAGTCCTTATAGACCTCTCTAGCCTGCCTCTGGAGCATCAGCCCTGCCTACCAGGGAGCTCTGGCCATTACCCAGAGCCCATGCTGGCTTTCTGGCCAATGCACAAACCCCACTGACCTTCCCGAGGGACAGATCTTGGCCTGGACTTCCACCAGCCTCAGCACAGGGGCTTTGGGGTAGGGGCTCAACAACAACCAGACATGGGGAGCAGGCAGCTTCCCAGGTCCCGCTTCAGCAACCAGACGTGGTGCCTTCTCCATTCCTGTGGTTCCTAAGCCAGACTCGCCTTTGCCACAGCCAGAGCCTCCTCCATCCCTCCCCAGCAATGGCACAAAAAGTCCCCATGGCTCCTTGGTGCGTGGCTGTGCCAGCACGGAGGTGGTGGGCTCGCTGTGGGAGTGGGGCTTTGCACAGCTTTACAATTTGAGCCCTGCATCACCCCACACCAGGCAGCTGGGAGGATGCACCTTCATTTCCAGTTGAGTAAGAACAGGGACATGCAGAAGGTTTGGTTTTCTTTGGTCATTTTTTTTATAATCAGAAATAAATCTTTGTAACCACTCCTATGGCTCTGTGGCTCTTGATCAGCAACAGGCTGACCGAGCCTGGCCATCCCACAGGGGTAGAGCCACTTGTACGGTCTACTTGGACACATCCGCAGGTCAGGCTCTGCCTGGTCTCAATCCCTTGCAGCCTGGCCAGTGCTGAGACTCCATCGTGGCTTCATATGCTCTACCAGCCTGGAGAAGCCCCCAAGACAGACCAAAGTGGGCTTGAAACCTCGCTCCAGACTCAGGCCCACGTGGAGCTTGAAGAGTTTCAACCAACTGCGGTTGCGAAGTTGAGGTTTCCCAAGCGCTGGGGGTCCAGCCACCTCAAAGGCGTGAGCGGGCAGCGCTCAAGCGGACTCTGCCCTGTGCATTCAGCGCGGCGCTCGCGGCCACAGCCTCCCCGCGAGAACACGCAG